CAGTACCGAGCAGCCTTCTTTCGAAGCGCATGAGCTTTTTTCTTATCATCAGGGATGGTACCATACTGCAAAAAAGCAACAATCTCGTTCCTCCAATCCCAAGTTAAATTATTAAAATTTACCTCATTCTTATCAGGATCGAGAACTAAATGAAATAATTGTATAACTGAGGCATTTGCATTGCTTGCCACATCAGCTGCAGATGCGAGATTAGCTAGGGCGTCCGCTTCAACATTTTCATCCCTTGGTATTTGTATAACTTTCTAGGTTTGAAATTGCTTTATCAATTCCCGTATCTTTTCTAAGTATTGTTGCATCCTTGCTTCCCTAGCTGTATGAGTCCCCAACATTTGATTAACCACGAGTTACGAATCACTCTTGATTATAATCTGATTTATGCCAAGCTCTCGTGCCAATTCTAGACCTGCAATCACAGTCTCATACTCCACTTCATTGTTAGTTATGTAGTGACATTTAATAGCTTGTCAAATGGTTTCACCCGTAGGCGGTACCGGGACAATCCCTAAACCTGCATCTTTTACATTAGATGAGCCATCAGTGAATAAAGTCCAAGTTCCCGGGCTAGCTCCATTGAATACCTGTAATTGTTTTTCTGCTTCTAATTGCATCCCCTGGCTAAATCAGCCATGAAATCTGCTAACACTTGTGATTTTATAGCAGTTCTAGGTTGGTATGTGATTTTATATTCACTTAACTCTATTGCGCACTTAGCTAACCTACCTGATAACTCATGCTTATTTAATATATTACGTAAAGGGTAGGCAGTTACTACAGCGATAGGATGATACTGAAATTAAGGTCTTAACTTTCTAGATGCCATGATTAATGCAAGTGCAAGTTTTTCTAATTGAGGATACCGCGTCTCCGCATCTAACAAAGATTTACTAACATAATTGATAGAGGATTGTTTACCTTGTTCTTCTCGGACCAAAACAGCGCTTACTGCAACTTTCGAAATAGCAAGGTAAATGAGTAGTCTTTCCCCTGCCTTTGGTTTTGCCAGCAAAGGTGGATTTGATAAGTACGTTTTTAAATTCCTGAGTGTCTGTTAACATTCCTCATTCCATTCAAAATGATCCTGTTTCTTAAGGGCTGAGAAGAATTTAAAACACTTNTGAGTGCCTGTTGACATTCCTCATTCCATTCAAAATGATCCTGCTTCTTAAGGGCTGAGAAGAATTTAAAACACTTCTCTGATGATTTAGAAATGAATCTTCCCAAGGCTATAATTCTCTCTGTTAATCTTTGAACTTCTTTCTTGTTTGAAAGTATATCATGGATTTCTTTAATGGCCTTAATATGTGGAGGATTCACTTCAATACCGTGGTTAGAAATAGGAAAACCCAAAAACTTACTTGATGCAACGCCAAATGCACATTTTTCGGGATTTAACTTCATATTAAATTTGCGCAAAATTGAAAATGTGTCAGATAAGTATGATATGTGATGTTTTGAATACTGAGTTTTAACAAGCATATCATCTATATATATATACCTCCATAGTCTTTCCTAAATGCTCTTGAAACATTTTGATAACTAACCTTTGATAATTTGCACCTGTATTCTTTAGACCAAAGGGCATTACTTTATAACAGTAAGTCCCCTTGTCTGTTATGAATGAAGTTTTTTCTTTATCTCTTGGATCCATTTTAATCTGATTATAACCTGAATATGCATCTAAAAAACTTAATAGTTCGTGACCTGCAGTTGCATCAATCAATTGATCTATGTGTGGTAGTAGAAAAGAATTTTTAGGGTAGGCTTTATTAAGATCTGTGTAATCTACACAAACCCGCCACTTACCGTTCTTCTTTGTTCTTCTTTGGAACTATAACAGTGTTAGCTAACTAGTTAGGATACTTTACCTCACGAATGGAACCAATTTTTGGACTTCTTCTTGAATTACCCGATTCTTGAAAGTTCCTTAATTTCTTTTCTTTTACTTGACAGGAGGGAATGATGGATCTTCATTTAGTTTATGAGTCATCACCTCCGGTGGTATTCCTGTCATGTCAGAATGGGACCAAGCAAAGCAGTCCACGTTAGTTTTCAAAAATTCAATTAACTTACCTCTCATACCTTGGCTAAGATTGGCTCCAACATAGACTTTTTTATCAGGCCATTGAGCAAATAACACGACAGGCTCTAATTCCTCTATTGTTGTTTTGATATTTTCATTCTCTTCTGGTTCTTGAATGGTATCAGGCCTTGAATCTACATCTGTTTGCCCTTGTTCAGTTGAGGTTTGTGTTGTGGTGTCCTCAACTGCCTTTTGTGATTGCTATTTACCTTTATTTCTCGTGTTTGTATCTGCAACAGAGTTGATAGCCCTGGATATATGTTGATCTCCACGAATTTGACAGGTTCCCCATGGCGATGGAAATTTAATAACATGATGCAAGGTTGAAGGAACAACATCCATTTCGTGGATCCATGGTCTCCCAAGAATCATATTGTAAGACATCTCTATATCTACCACCTGGAACTTTGTATCTTTGACGACTCCTTCAACGAATGTGATGAGTGTTACCTCTCCTTTCGTGAGGACACTAGAATTATCAAATCCAGATAGAGTATGTGCCTTTGGTATCACTTTATCTTCAGCTTGCATCTCACATAATACTCTTAGCAAAATAATGTTCACGGAACTACCTGGATCAATCAAAACTCGTTTCATATTAGTATCATGTACAATTAAAGATATTACCAGTGCGTAATTATGAGGGGTTAATACGCCATCTGCATCTGCGTCATTGAATGTAATGTTGTCTTCCTCTAAAACATGCCGCACCCGTTTCCCTTGGGTAATTGTTACTTTGGAAATTTTGTTAGCTGTAGTATATAATATACCATTGACGTCTTCACCCCCACTTATAACGTTGACAGTTCTTTTGGGAGAAAGTGGTTTTGGAGAGTCTCGTGGAGTAGGAACTTGAGTGTTAATATTCTGTGGATCTCCCTGATTTTGTTGGTTCTTTTGGTTTCCTTGAGTGTTGTCATTGTTGTTCGATATAATTGATGAAACAAGGAAAATTAAGTGAAAAGAAAATAGATTATCAGTTTCCCGGTAACGAAACCAATTTGTTTAACCAAAAAATAAAATTTTAGCCAAAGCTAGAATTTAGAAGAACACGGGTTACTGATAATCAAAAGAATGTATAAAAGGAAGTAATTTAGGTAGCAAGAGAGTAATCAAGAGAAAAACAAGTAAACCAAAGTTTATTCCAATAGTGTCTTCGTGTCCTTACAATTGATCAGATATCTCCCTTTTATAGATATCTTGGAGATATACGTTTTGCCCAAATCATAATGAGGCTATTATGAGTAATTAAAGACATTGAATGCTACGTTATATATCATTACATTCAATACAAATTCTCTAACGTATTCCACATTTAATACCTATTAAATGACGTATCTGCACTCTTTTCTATTGTCAGATTCATTCCTTTTGATTCTCGGACATAAATGACTTAGATAGGTACGGGTGCCAAGTTATTTGTATAACTGCCCGTGCCTCTTCCTTTGTCATTTGCTCGTATCTGTTGCAACTCGTGCCTCTTGGCTAGTTGTAATTCTTTGACCATTTGACCGGTCTACGTGTCTCGGCACGTCACCTTTATATTTAAATATAATTTTTCCCAATACAGAAAAATCTACCGAATTTTAGTTTCCATGTCATGTTGGATGGTAGGAATGACGTCAAACTTAAACTTTATTGATTTATTTTTTATTGTTCGAAGTGCTTCAATTCTCAAAAGCCATATTTCTGACCTATGCAATTTATTTGTCTAATTTAGTTCTTAATAAAGGTACTAGAAACTAAAGGCACTCTAACAAAGTGAGTCGTAGTAGCTAATGGAGTACTAAGTTCTTTTTGTGAGAACGACAACTACTTGTAAAATAAACTTCATTTTCAACTTTCAACCAAATCAACAAATTCTTTTTCACCTCTTCGTACCAACGGTTAATTGTAAATTGACATAATAAAAATTGTGATGGACTGATAAATACTCCTCATCTTTAATAGGAAGTCTCGAATTTAAATCTTAAGTATGAAGTCGCCTTTATTGAAAAGTGTTTTACTCCCGACATGAGATTTTGTGTCGTGAATACAAATCTAATCGGACCCCATGCAAATAAAAAAAAGATGGAAATTAAGACCATAAAAACGACAAGAATGGGAAAAGAGTGGAATGGTTAAAGGAGACAGGGAAAGCATGGTCTTCAAATCATGTCACTCCTCCCAAAATCTTTTTCTCATCACTCTCCTTTACCATACTTAGTCCTTAAGATTTCTCTTCTTCATCTTCTCATCTTCTTTTTCACAGTTTACAAAATAAAACAAGATCCAAAACCCAACCCAATTTTTCAATGGAAGATACAATTACAACTCCTAATTACATCTCAAAGCAACAGAAATTAACCTTTAATGTTCCAGCAAAACATGCAGATTCTAGCAGTAAGTTTTATTATCATTTTTCCTTTAAAGCTATGCTAGTTCTGATATTTCTAGTTGTACTTCCACTGTTTCCTTTGGAAGCTCCTGAAATTATCAGCAAAACTCTACATACTGGAAGTTGGGAAATTCTTCAGCTTATATTAGTTGGTATAGCTGTTTCTTATGGCTTATTTAGCAAAAAAAGTGATGATGAGTCAGACAATGAATATCATAGTAATTCAAAGTTTGATAATGTTAAATCTAGATTACTTGAGGTTTCATCTTTTTTTTATGATGAGGCCGAAAACCATTCTGTGTGTGATGAAAACAGAGTTGAGACTTTGAGTCATTATCAGTACCATAGTGGTAAGCCAGTAGTAGTTCAAGAAAAACACAGAGCTATAATTAGTTCAAGAATTGATGAAAAGCCTTTGCTTTTACCAATTCGGAGTTTGAAATCCCCTGTTCCTGAGCCTATCTCAACCACTTCACCAAAATCTCTTTCACCGTCACAGTCGATTTCATCTCCAAGAAAGTTTCCATTTTCATCAGAATCTGAAGCCAATATTGCTGACAATATTATGAGGAAAAAGAGTTTTCTTAAGTCCTCTCCGCCGCGGCCACCTCCACTGCCACCACCAACACCTGTTATTAGAAAATCTACTCTGTTGAAATCAAGCTCTATTATTATAGATGAAAAGGCTGTTTCTGATAAGGAACTGAGGAGAAGTAGTAGGAGTGTGCCATTTGAGGGGAAGTCAGTTCGAACAATTAGGCCATTCATTGGAGCTGCAAGAGCAAGAGTACTACATGCTCAAGATTTCATAAATGGAAAGGCAGAGGGAATAAAGAATAAGGAAGTTGAACAAACTTTTGTCGATAAACAGATGAATGAAACGTCCCATTTTGTACCAAAGCCAGCAGTGATGGAGTTTGTAGGGGAAGAGAAGAAAGTGTTGTCTGTTGAAAAGGTTGTTGTGGAAACTGATGATTACTTTGAAGAGAGCACAGGAAATGTAGAGGTAGCAAACAAGAATGTTAGTGATAAGGCAACTGAGAGTGTTACTGATGTAGACAAGAAGGCGGATCAGTTCATAGCTAAATTTAGGAAACAGATCAGGCTTCAGAGAATTGAGTCCATTCGAACATCTGCTACAAACCATGTAAAATGATATTGTTCAAAGTGAGGTGATATAAGAGCTACATATTTGTAAGTCTTATGGTTAGGGAGTAATTGACTTGCCATTAGAACAGTTTTTCAGTTAGCTAGTAGTAATTCACTTGGTATTAGAGAAGTTTACTTGTGTTTTTTTGCCTTTTTAGTTTGTATTTCCAAACTTGTCTCATAGTGGCTACAATGCTAATATGTAACAACACCATTATTTAGTGATTCAGTTAATTAAGTAGCTGTCTTTGTGATGATTTCTCTCGTGCTTCTTATAGATCTTTTGTAATTCCAGAAATACCAAAAGTTCAGTCCACAGACATTATATGAACTCTTGAATTTGGATTTCCTAGCTCATCAAACTATTTTCTAAAAAGCAGTACTCCATTTGGTTGGGCGAAACAATTGATGAACACACTAGTCCAACAATTTCCTAGTTGTTTTCTTTTTCTCCAAAAAAAAAATTGTTTCCTGAGCCAAGGTGTACCGGAACAACAACCTCTTTGCCTTCTTAAAAGCAGGTGTAAGGTTTGCGTACACACTACCTTTCCAAAATCCTACTTGTGGAATACACATGGAGTTGTTTTTTGTTCTTTCAAATAAAAATTGAAAACTGTTATAAACTAATAAAAAAAGAAGAATATTGCAAAGAAAAGTGTAGAGAGAGAATTCTTATTTATTTGGAATGAACTACAATGGAATAGAACCCCTTTATTTATAGGGGAAAAGTGACTTAGCCACAAAGTAATAAAACCCTAAAATCTCTCTAAAATATAGACATTCACCTTAAGTACAATTCTATTTATAACAAAAAATATTGTTTGTTCACGGAATATGATCAGTTTTTACAAATTTCGGAAAATAACTTTCAAGTTCCAAAAACTAGTTTAACCCACTCATAAAATTTCAACTTTTTTCAAATAAAATGCATGTGCAAATACAATATCAACTTCCAAAAATTATTTTTAACGCAACTTCAAAAACTCTTTTTTCACATTTCAATTAAATCTATATCCAAAGGCTAGCTAAGTATTTCCCAAGAATTATTAAGACAGTCTAATTTCAGACCCCCTCTTCCAAATTAAACATTTTCTCAAGATTGTGGTTTCTTAGAACGAAAGCCCAACAAGTTTGAGATTAGGTTTGTTATCCATTGCTTAAATTTTGAGCAATTGACACCGTATAACAATGCTTAATTACAAGTGGCATTTTATTGGCCTTAAATTTAGTTTGGCATTACTAGCCCAAAAAAATTGGCATTAAATAGCCTAATCCCCAACATACACGATTTTATAACCCTTCAAATATAGGGAGGATTTTTAAGATTTTGTGCACCCTCCATGCTTGCACGATATATCCCTTCAGAATCGTAACTACCATGTCGACCCAAATAAAAACAAATGCAAAAATTATATTTCCTTCACAAATCAAAAAGGGTGGGAGAGTTTTCAACAATCATGGCAGTTGAATATCAATTTTCAGAATTCAGATTCAATAATTAGTGCTTTCTTCAAGAACAAATGTTACACCTCATGTTTTCGTACGTAAAAGTATATCATAAGTCAATTGATGTAAGCTCAGAATTGAGATCATCTTTGGAAGTATAAGTAAGTTAATAATGTTACTTTGGAGGTTATAAATATTAAAGATCATGCATAACAAGTACCAATAGGGTTCGAAGGCTTAGAAGCTAAACGAATTGAAGAAAATAAGTTTCGTCGAAAGTCAATAAGTTTGGAATCTTATAACATGCACTTTGGGATGAGACTAGGGTTCTTAATATTATTATGAGGTTATGTTATGAGTTATTTTAATCGTATTATAGTCGTGTGTTATATTTTGAAGTCAAGCAAGTTGTGGAACAAAAGTTGGCAAAGGTCATCACAAGTTACATTCATAAATGTGCTGAAAATTAGGTCAAATGTAGCTGAGCTTTTATCCAAAGGTACGGTGATCTACCTATCAAATTGAATATATACGAGTCTAGTTTCTAACGCATTAAACTGTTCGTTGATACGATATCGGGGTAGAGAGATATTTACATTTTTGCGAGATTGCGCAAGCAGCTCCCATAGGACCCACTTAGGCGGTGGTCGACCTACTTCACTTTAAAAACGATTTGGAGAACCTTTATTTCTCATTTTTAGACCCAACCTCGTACCTACACCCCTCTTAACCCTCCTAAATAGATACCATAAGGGTTTGAAGTGATTCTGTAACGACCCGACTAGTAGTTTTGAGCTCTAGCACATTATTAAGCAGTTTTGAGTAAACGACCTTGGAATCGGAATTTGAAAGTTCCAACAGGATCGTATGATAATTTTGAACTTGGGCATATGTCTGGATCGGGTTTTGGATGACCCGAGAGCGCACGACGCTTATTATGGAAAGTTGGCATTTTGGAAGAATTTTATTAATTTGGGTTGGAGTGTATTTTTAATGTTATTGATGTCCGTTTAGGATTTCGAGCCTGAGAATAGCTTCGTATGGTGATTCTGGTCTTAAGAGTGCGTCTAGATGTGGATTTGGAGGTCCATAGGTCATTTCGGGGTCATTTGGCGAAAGTTGAAAATTTGAAGGTTTTTGAAAAGTTTGACCATGAGTAGACATTTTGATATCGGGGCCGGATCTCGATTCTGGAAATTGGAATAGGTCTGTGATATCATTTGGGACTTTGTGTGCAAAATTTAAAGTCGTTCCGGATCGATTTGATATGTTTCAACACAAGATATAGAATTTGGAAATTTAAAAATTTGTAAGTTTGATTCGAGGCGTGATTCATGATTTTGATATTTTTTGATGTGGTTTTAGGCTTCAAATAAGTTCATATTGTATTTTGGGACTGGTTTGTATAATTGGACGGGGTCCCGGTGCCCTGGGGTGTGTTTCGGAGGTGTTTGGGTTGTGTCGCGCTCTTATTTGATGTTTCGACATCGTTTATTTGGGCATAAAGGGAACTATATTGAGCAAAAAACCTTTGATTTGTGATTGTATTGAACCATTAGATCCGTATCGTAATTACGGAAGCATAGCAACAAGAATCGTCGAATTTCAATGTCGTATGAGAGAGTTATGCCCATTTTCGTGTCAGACAAAATTGTTGGTTTCTAGTGCGAAGCTTCGTTCTTCGCGAACGCGAGAGCAGTTCTGCGAATGCAAAGAACGATTTCTGGGTTGACCGTCAACGCAAAAAATTGCTCTTCGCGAACGCGAAGGCGATGAAGAAAAATCATCTAGACAGTGTTTTAAATCAAGAATTTTAGTATTTTGGGCATATCTTGAGTTCTAGAGCTCCGTTTGAGGTGATTTTCGTGGCGTTGTTCTCGTCTCAATAAGGGGATAAATATCTGACCTTATTTTGATGTTTCTACATGATTATTTCCGTTGGTTATTATTTTCATCCGTGTTTGGATTGTAAAAATTGGGATTTTGAGCCCCAAAGTTGAGAAATGGTAAATCCTTGATTTGAGGGCCGATTCATGGATAAAATTGGATGATTTTTTGGATATCACCCATATGATTTATGGGTAATATTTATTTTCAAATTTTTTTGGAATCCGGGCACGTGGGCCTAGGGTCGACTTTATTGACTATTCGAGCAGAGTTGGAGATTGTTATAAATTGATTTATTATGAGCATTAGAGTATATTTTTATTGGTTTGTGTATTGTTTGACTTGTTTTGGAGTGACGGACATCGATTTGAGGTGTTAGAATAGCGTTGGAGCCAGTTATAGAACTTTAGAGCGAGGTAAGTCTCCTGTCTAACTCTGTAAGGAGGAAACTACCCCTAGGTGATGTATTTGATATATGTTACTTGTTGTGGGGGCTACGTACGCAGGGGGTGAAGAGAGTCCGTGCGTAGCTAAATCCATGTTATTGCCCGGTAAACTTAGGTTCACAGCATGATATAGTTGTACTATTTGAGCTGTCTCTTGTCTATTAAATTCCTTTATTTTACATTGCGACTTGAGACTAGACTTGTGTAGAGCGATAGACCCGCTATTGTAGAGATTCAACGGGCTTCGTGATTAGCCGCAAATAATTGTACTCCTCTTACGAATTTCTCCCCTCATTATGCATTCTCATCGAAAGGTTTCCCCAAAGCTTCTTATAACTCACAGGCCCCTTCGTGAGTGGGGTCAAGGACCCGTCAAAGCTTTTTATTCTAATGGGATTGGGCCGTTTGCCTCAGCAGGATAGATACATATATGGTCGTGTTTTTCGATCATCGGCAGTGCGCACATCTTATGGGATCGGGTCGTTCGCCTCGGCATGATTATGTACCACACTCTCATGGGAGTCGGCCGTTCACCTCGGCAATATAATAGATTTATCTATGGTTATATACCAGAATATGGTGGGACTGGGTCGTACGCCTTGACATTTCTACAAAACACTCCTACGGAATCGTGCATATTGTTTGTCCAAAAAACCAGTGCATCTGGGAGTTTTCCTGATTTGAATTATGACAACCTATCTGGTGAGGTCCATTATTTATTTATCGATGGAGGAGGTAACTGCCAATCGAGAGTTTGAGCTTATTTTTGAGAGGAATATTGTACCACGTATTCATACTTGTTTATCTTATTTATTTACTCTGCCCCATATCTGTTTACTTCTTACTGTTGTCTTATTGGACCACTAATAAGTATGGATGTCGACCCCTCGTCACTACTTCTTTGGGTTAGGCTAGATACTTACTAGGTACGCGTTGATTTACGTACTCATGCTGCACTTTTTGCACTTATTGTATATGTATACAGATATGTTTCTGGTGGTCCTCTAGATGCAAAGGCGCGGCTGTTGCGGGGATTTTATGGTGAGCTGCACTTCTTTGATACAATCTGCAACATGCAAAGTCTCCATCAGAGTTATTTATGTTCCCCGTCTAACTTGTATTTCATACGGATGTTGTATCATTGTTGTACTCATTAATAGATGATCATGCACTTGTGACATTGGGTTTTGGGAGTTCTTACAGAATTGTTCATTATTGTAGTTCGTGTAAATATTATCACTTACCCTGTAAATTATATTTCATACTCCTTAATTAATGAAAATTATGATTTCAAATGCTAAAATGAGTAAATAAGTTAATCATTCACCTTTGACTTGCCTGACAGCGGTGTTAGGCGTCATCACGACCTTTAGTGGATTTTTGGTCGTGACAGCTTGGTATCAGAGCATTAGGTTCAATTAGGTCTCACGAGTCATGAGCAAGTCTAGTAGAGTCTTGCGGATCGGTACGGAGACGTC